ACAGGTACGATCAAAAGCCAAGTTAGATGACTTCGAGTGCAGTTGTGAGTATAAAAGGCTGTCAGATGTGGCTGTCACGCATAGCTGAGGCCTTATTTTACCGGTCGGCATATATATTGCATTGATGTTTACTGTAGCTAGCGCAGACAAGCGGGATCGCGTATAGTTAAGGGTATACAAGACCGTCAGTGACCATCGGATTATGTTACTGTGCATAGGTGCAGTCTCACGTTGCACATAAACGCGGGCCTAGCAGTTACAACAAGTATTCGAGATGAGTGGAAACTAATAGAGATATGAGTACAAGGGGCCGTCGTTGCTCATTGGATTGGGCCGACGCGCATATGTGGGAAACCTTAATTAGCGTCGAACACAGACACGGATGCAGCAGCTACAATAGGTAGTCGGGGTGAGGGACAACGGCTACCGTCATCGTGGTGACCGCTTTCTGGTGGTCACTACCTATAGAACGTCATAGTTATAGTAGGAAAGACGCCCACAGCTATCTGGTAACACTGTATTGTCTACAAGCTAGTTATGCATATCTGGGAAAGGGGATCATTCACAGATGTCCCTCGCACTACCACTGCAAGTTTGTGCTGTTATACAACTTTATTGCGCTTAATGGAACATGAGATAAATGAGGAAAATACGTTGTGAGCAGGTTCACCGAACAAAAATATCCCATTTGTTAAATCTGAAACGTCTAAAGCCATCAAACGCCTGCGACTGATCCTATAGGGTGGCATTCGCATTAAATACTCTTAAGATGTTATTTTATTCTTCAGGAAGACCGAAGAACGCCAAGATACGCTCAAGTGCGATTTAGTGTCTTATGTCGCGTAAACCGGCCAAAAATACAAATCAGCGATAGTCACTGACCTTGGCTTTTCGCCCACTTAAACAAAATGCTACGTGCAACATGTCACAGGAAGGTGCAAATTGATTAGGCTAACTTCCCATTAAAATAGCAACTTCGAAAACCCTATAGTTTCGGCGAACTCAATTTAGGTGTGTCAATAGCCAACCGGTAGAGTACCATCTAAATTTCAAACCACGCGGTTTTTAAGGGCAAACACAGTTCTGAATAGCAGGGTTGTTTTAGCTCTGACCAAAGATAAGGAACAGAAAAATTGGTTCAGCTTTCGTGATCCTAAGCCGAAAGTAGTTTGTTTAGACGCATGAAAACCGTAGATATACTGAATTATCAAGGTTGGCAGAAAGCGCGCACGGGACGAAGCACGTATATTCGTGCCCGGAACGTCGCTCTATAGATCTACCACAATATTGGCGATCTTTGAATATGGATAGTGATTCTCTTCCTTACTTCATTCTAGGAAGGTGACGCTATTATGGGATAGGACTTTGGACGTAAAAAGTGAGGATTACGATGTACCCATCTTGGCTTCCGGTGGTTCGCGCGTCAGCCATTGCTTGGACTCCGCTTATTCAGTGCGAATTACCGGAAGGGCCAACATTCTCGAGTAATGTCATTACAAGAGACAGGAAGATAGTGATCAATGTCAGTGGAAGTCGTTTCGAGACGTGGAAGTCTTCGCTAGACCGTTTCCCAGACACACTTCTTGGTTCGGATGAAAAGGATTATTTTAGAGACTCTAAATCGGGAGAATACTTTTTTGATCGGGATCCAAACCTTTTCCGTTTTATATTAGCTTATTATCGTTCTGGGAAACTACATTTTCCGAAAGATTCTTGTGTCACGGCTTATCACGACGAATTGATCTATTTCGGAATCATGCCAGAAATTATGGGAGACTGCTGTTACGAGGAATATCTTGATCGATACCGCGAAAACAGAGAACGACAGCTTGAGGATCTAAACGATCATAAAGAGGAGGAACAACCAGCTACATGCTTTCGTGAACAGCTCTGGCGTGCTTTTGAGAATCCGCAAGCATCAACACTCGCCATTGTGTTGTATTATGTTACTGGATTTTTTATTGGCGTATCTGTACTAGCAAACGTAACTGAGACGGTTTCTTGTGGAACAAGTCAGGAGACGGGTGATAATATACCCTGTGGCGAGAAGTACAACGCTGCATTTTTTTGTTTGGACACAGCCTGTGTAATGCTTTTTACTGTTGAATATTTTGCCCGGCTGTACGCCGCGCCATCAAGGTGGAAATTCATTCGATCTGTGATGTCAATTATCGATATTGCTGCGGTGCTTCCGTACTATATTGGTTTATTCATGTCCAACAATAAGGAGTTTTCTGGCGCTTTTACCACTCTAAGAGTGTTTCGTGTGTGTCGCATTTTTAAGTTTTCAAGACATAGCAAAGGACTGCGGATCCTTGGATGTACTTTGAGATGTTGTGCTTCAGAACTGGGGTTTCTCCTTTTTACGATCACGATGGGAGTCATAATTTTTTCTACAATCATGTTCTATGCGGAAAAGTCAGAAACATCACAATTTAACAGTATTCCAGCTGCATTCTGGTACACTATTGTAACAATGACTACACTTGGGTAAGTGGATTCTTTCCTCCCGAACATGAAAGGTTACGTGATTTCTACCACTTAGAGAGGAAAGAGAAATTGAAAACAATTTTCATGGCAATAGTGGTTTGGGAATTTAAGCTTACAACATTTAATTGATAGGTTTTCCCCCAAAAGCTTCCATGAGTTTTTAATAAATGCGGTAATTAGTCTCTCTCTTCTACGTTTTGTCCGTCTCAAAGCTTAAAATAATGCCTTGCGGATCAAAGTATGACTTCTCAGCCTTGCGCTTTCAAGTTCGATGTGTAGTTATAGCTTTCGTCGTAGGGCGTTGCCCCAGCACAATGCTAAGGAATAACGGGACAAAATGAATAAAAACATAAAAAGAACCAAATAGAAGTAGGAATCATTTTCATTGTTTGGGTCGCACAGTTTCTCATTTAAACTGACAACAACTGGCATAAATCTGGTAATATTGTGTCATACTAATTGTCGGTGTGCACGTACTCGCTAAATCATGCAAACCTATTTGGCATTGTTTCAGTTTTGCAAAAATAATATGATCCATGAATTTCGCTGATTTGTTGGATATTTTTTGATATTTTGAGCAATGTCACCGGTGTCGTATAGGTTTTGGTCAATTTTGCATAACCATTTACTTTACTACAGACAAGATAGTGTATAGTATTCTAGAGTGAAAGCAAGACAGCTCTGCTTTGTACGAAATATTTAAAGGGCTGTGAACGTGAAGCAAGCATTTAGGCATATCGCCTCAAGTTAATTATAAGAAAAAGCTGTTTTTATCGAAGACTACACTAGAAATATATTAACACACTACATGCGTATTCGAACACACTTGGGTTGAGTGCTTTAAAGCTGTAAGACTGTGCGGCCCAGAAAGGATCAAGATGCCCATTTATTTTGGAGGATATTTCTATCAGACGCTTTCACGGTGAATTTTCCTGCAAGTGTGTTTTTATAGAGCATTTATAATACATGTTTCTTCTGCAAGATGGGACTTTCTGCCCAAATTGATTGCGATAATAGGCAGCGTGATTAAAAGTGGTATTTGCCCATAAAATTTAGGCTGACACTATGGTTTAAGTGTTTTATGCAATTCATATTGTCCTAAAACTGATGCGGATTTGCCACTTAGGTTTTTTCTTAATCCACCACTGGTATACATCACAATTTACTTAACCTTTTTAAAGAAGCGTTCGGCACTTGAGACAAATGGGAACATTGTTTCAAAGCCTTTGTGCCAAGTTATTCCAAATACAAACAACTTTGTTCTAACGTGGAGAATTTAAGGTGATTTTCCTAATTTCTGGTACTGATCAGAACCAGAACCACGTAAGTTTTTTTTTTGCGTCTTACCGCGCAAACCTCTCCTAATCATACTCAAATTATAAAGCGCTACCTTACCTTTTGAGACCGAACACCCTCAGTCAAAAAGCATAACATTTTGTGACGTGACCAGGAAGACGTCAGCCATGATTGCCAGATAGACATCTTGATATGCAATAAAGCTTACCAGAGATGTTTTGCAACCCTCATCAGCAAACAGTTGGGATGCTTTTGTAGTGAGCTATTGTTTAGCATTACTCAAAATAAAAGATAAAACAGCAAGGATTTAAGCGTCATTTACTGTATGCAAACAACTCTGCTCACAACTGAATCATGATTTTGCTGTTTTCGGTAGTAAAATGGCCACTTCAAATATTTTACGCACAAAAGTTAGATATTTGATTACACCATACACTCAAAACTTACCAAAAGTGGTTACTCTGACTGTTTTCTTGGCGAGAAAACATTCTTGCAGTGGCTGCATGTCCACTTGACTGTCCTGTTCTATATTTGGCAGTAATCATATCAGGCCTCCCTTGTACATGTGCAATGTTATTAAGATGCACAAAACTTCAAATGATAAATAACTTTTCTTTACACCCAAAAATAATTGAATTATTGTTAGATATTGGGTGCTCAAGAAAATGTCAGTAGTGACCTAACGTCGACTCATGGAAGTAGAATAACTTGTAAGTAGATAGAGTTTTTATGTGCAGCACAGGATGGATGTCTCTAAATAGCACAAATGGAAAGATCAATAAGTGGTATTAATTATGCTGTGCACCAACCCATACAAGATGATTAGGTAATGTTACGTCTCTCAAACGCAATGAAAGCTAAAACATTTAAATCCACGGCTGCCTGAGCGGCTACAAGAGGGATTATTGTTCAAGGCGTGAAAAGTCTGTGAAAAATATGTAAGACCAGCTCGGTGGCCGATGATTGATAACCTTTTTTGTCGATTTAGTCATAAGTTTGCTCCTAAAATTAGTTTGTCCTCTCACTCAAGTAAAACATTGTGGTATACGTTTGAACTGATCTAGACAAAACAATTAGACGTCTTTTAGCCATTTTGTTCAAAAAAACTAATGATTGTCCTGAAGAAAGAGTCTGCCAGTGGCGTTTTACTTTTGCTCTGGGAAGAAATCAACCGGCCAAGTCCATATACATGTTGAGTACTAGTGGATTCGTGTAAACGATACAGTTCTAACGAATTTTGTTTTGCGTTATCAATCAGTGGTTCAGGATATCCACGTGTGCTATTTCAGCCAAATCGTCAATCAGTTCAATGAACTGATTAAGTGTGCTTCAGAAATTAAAATTTTGGCAACGGTGGAGTGATGCTGCAGACAAATGGAAGTTGAGACCTTTATACGTTTTGTCGGCGGTAGGATAGTTCACAAATAAAGACGTGGTCAGTTTCGGATTATTTATAAAATTGCAAGAAGTTACGTGTGACTAATCGGCAGAGGACGTAACATTACATTACGTGAGATTGAGTCAGAGAATGCACTCATATAGTATGGAACCAAAAGGAATTATACAAACAGCCTCATATTGTTTTTGAACAACAACCAAAGTTTAAAACCAAACATTTGGAAAAAGCCTTGCAGCGTCTTAAACCACTACACTAATTACATTGCTAAACACAGCATAATTAGAAGCAGTGTTGTTCCATGGAGCATACTGAAACGGTGACATCACATCTTTGTGGACTTTTGGAGATATGTGCATGAGATATTTCGTTGACCGACTTTAGCTCTTTTTTGTTCAAAAAATTTCAAATTGGCAGATTCACGAAACTGGCAAATGAGTCAAGCATCCTAAGCCTTACATATTGGAAATATACATTTCATAAACAAACTTTAGCACGTGTCTTAAAGTGTAAGTATATATTTATACATATATCTACTATTTTGTAACCAGGTCCAAAATGAAAATGTAGTTTTTTCGTCAATTTTCTGAGCTTAAATGCAACTCTAACAATAGAAATCTTCCGAAAAAAAACAGTGGTTTCGAAGTTTTAAGGAAAAATTGAAACAAAGTTAAGAACTATTTCATCAGGTTTGCTCACGATGCATCTAGCTACTTTTATACTCACGGGAGGGAAGTGCACCTTACCGTATAAAATGGGAACTCGTATCCCATGTATTAAGACTTGTGACGGGATTGAATAAACAAAACCCTTAATATTTTTCTGCAAACCAAATAGAAAATAAAAAGAAGCTGACTAAACCAGTCACTAGCACTTAAATAACACCGTTTTATAAAGTGTTTACTTTTCCACTAGTATTTGTTTGGTTGAACCTGAGACCTAAGGTTCAATAAGCTGAAAGAATTGGGTTTCTAAAATAACACGCACAAGTCTGACTTAAGTAGGTTAAGAATAATTACACTGAAAGGGCTGTGGCCAATGAAATTACTCTCCTGACAAAAAGGAAATCAGTGATGTTTAGCTTGAAGTAATTTTTTCGGTTTACTAGCCTTGATTACTTGCGCTTTTCTTGTCAGCGACATCAATAATAAAACCAATAACTCAAGTCGTACATAAATATTTGGCCGGTAGCTGCTTGAGATTATTTTAACTTAGTACACCGTTTACATATCTATTCATCTGCAATTAAACATGTTCCCTCATTTAGATAGTTTTAGAAATGGTTGAATGATATGCAATGTACAAGAGAAATAATGTCAACAAAACGTGCCATAGTAGGAAGCTCTAGTAAGATTGTATTCCCATGACATGTTAGCATATAGTGTCACACTAGACAATGAGTAAGGTCACCGGTTTGTTACTGATCAGCCGAAATAATGTCATGTACAAAATATGTTAGTTGAGATGTTTTTAGGGCACTGGAGTAGTTTGTTCTGAAATATATAAGCAGATGTTTTGAACAAACTGATTTGCCTATTTGAAAGGAATGTACTGCTGAAAAACTGAATTTGCCAAACTTTGGTGATGCGCATTTAATTTGTGGATATTTTGATCACTTATGGGTAGAGTGCTCCTTAGTCCTAATAAGTTGGTCTTTGTTTTTATAGCGTCAGTGCATTTGGAGAAACAAAACACTAGTAAAGGTTTAACTGCCTCCCAAAATCGCAGAACTTGGCCGCTATCTTGTTGTTACTACATAAGCCGTCTACTTTGAAGATGGTGAGTAAGTTACAAACGAACAATCGTTAAAACTAAAACAAGGATCAAAGCACTTTGTTTGCCCAAAAATGTAATTTATGATGCGTGAAAGCCCTAAAACTGGTTTAAATTTTACCAAAGATTTTAAATTTGATTTTTGTAAGAAAAATATAATTCTTCTACAGGGCTACAAAAAACTGGTGGTTTATTTCGTTTTCAGCACATCGGTGTATTAACTAACTAAAAAATAAAATAAATGTTTCCGTTCGTGGACAAAATTTTACGGCAGCTCACGGTTTTTGTGCGCTTATCCAAGGTGTTCATGCAGGGTTCGCGATGGCTTTATCGAGTAATATTTTTGGATATGTTTGAGTCCAGTCACATGGCCTAAAAATGCGGTGTTATGCAGCTTAGTTGACCACCAACACTCTTGAAAAATCGATAAACTTTTGAGTGGTATTGTTGAGAAAATGTGCCCAAAGGGTGGCGGCTTTCAAAGGATTGTCAAATAGTTAATTTTTTTCTAATTAGCTCTGCCTCTTTGGATGGAAGTT